AAAATTGAAATCACTTAAGGAAGTGCAAAATACACTACCAGATGAAACAGAGCGCTAATTAATCGGCAGTGCTAAGTTAAATAAATAAGTTATTGATCGTAATTTAAAAGATTGAATAAATTCAGACACGGGAATATCAACTGGAAGATTATTCCAGTAATGCAATAATATAAGTTAAGATTGCATACAGGTGCAATTGGAAAATGCAATGAATACTACCTGATAAAAACACCAACTAGTGTCAGAGTTCATGTGCAAGTGGGGGTGGGGCAGTCAGTGAAAGGGCGGTGTTGGATTCAGAGGGAGGAGCTGGATGCAGGTCTGGAGTTCATGTGTGTGAGAGTCGAGAGGGACGGAGGAGGGAGAGACTTCAGCTTCCTGACAGCCTGATGGACGAAGCTGTCTCTCAGTCTGCTGGTTCTAGCCCGGAGGCTCTGGAGTTGCAGGAGCACGGTTTTAACTAACCGATTAGCTCGATGGTCCAGTGAAGACAAAGTCTCAGCCGCTACGTTAAGTAGTGGCTTCTTGATGAGATCATCAGGTGGGTGATTAGAGCAGGTGTGTTCGGCCACAGACGGGAACCTGTGATGAGTCCCGCCCACAAACACAGACAAACAAGCACAAGGACACAAGGAATGTGATGAGGGACCATGACCAAAAACAGGGTGAGGACATCTAACAAAGCTGAAGTCACAGAAAACTAAGAACTAAAGTCACAAATAACAATACAATAAAAATCATCTTAAGACAACAAGAAGTTCAGGGAAATGCAGAATAAAATTATTAACAGAAAACAAAATAATACAGAACTCGAACACATAATATATCAATAAAGAGCTGTAAAAGCTGTTAATAATAAAATGCTCAAACAGATTTAAGGAAGGATCATGTCAGTTAAACCTCAGTTAAGTAGCAGAAGTGTTGGTGAAATTAACAGGTATTAATTAACATGTGTGCTAGAGTGGCAACAATGAGACGACCCCCAGGACAATGTTAAACTGTCTCTGATCAAGGAATCAGAAACTGACTTCATGAGGGGGGCCTGAGGGCCCAGCGTACTCTAGTGGGTGCCTGTGAACAGCTGATATTACATTATTTGGAAATGGTCCAGGAAACCTTTCCAACTTTGATTCTACAAGTTTTCTTCTTAGATCTTCACTGAGTTCATTGGAGTTCAAGGTTCAAGGTTCTTTCTTTGTTACATGCATAGTTATACAAGTATAACACACAGTGAAATGTAACCTGACACGCTCCTCGACATGTGCAAAAAGGGGGAATAGACAGAATAGACAATATAAACATATTTAAAATTAAAGGAATTTGAAATGTACATTGTGCCTGGGTTTAGAGTGTCTGGAAGAGAGTCCCGTCTCAGTCAATTATAGATGATGTGAGAGGGCGGGTGTGTGTGTTTCGGGCTAGGGGATAGAAGCTCCTCTTGAGTCTCTCTGTCCTTGCCCGGATGATGCGGAACCTTCTACCAGATTGCAGAAGTTGGAACAGTTTGTTGCCAGGATGGCAATCCAGCAGCGTTCTGCTGTACGGATCACTCTCTGGAGAGCTTTTTGGTCCTTCACACAGCTGTTCCCAAACCACGA